TTTTGTCTCAATGCCCGTTTTCTCGAGTCGCATCTGTAAAGTTACAAATTCTCGCGTCACAAACAGCTGATGTATCGCGACCTCGTGCGACAGAAAACGGGTTACACATGGTCGAATTTGATTGCCTCACAACATTGGGCCCACGGCTTTGCTGTTTGGCGCCGGGCAAAGCTGTAAACAATTTGGCGCGATGCAACAAACCAAGCAGCTGGTACAACGCACTGGGTACCCTCACAGCATTACACACAAATGTACATCAGAGGATCGTATGTGGAAATCCTCAACAAGCAGATCACTACAACACTGCAGTCCTAGCTGTGGATGCTACCATGTCAGAGCCTCGTGCTGTGCCATTTCTCATGCGGCTGCTAGTCGCATGGATCACATTCTACTACACTATTTTTATGGACGTAGTAGGACGGGCGGTCGGCAGCTTGCTGGAAGCCGGCGTCTTTGTCGATGATCACTCTACGCCAGAGAGCTCACACAGCTCCAACAGGACAGCCGAGCGGACGAGGAGGGCACGTCTGCGCCGCCGACGATACGAGCTGCTAGGCAAAGACCTGCAGGGCATGGGCGACACAGAATTCAAGGATCTCTTCAGGATCAACCGTGCCATTCTAGCGTACATTGTCAAGGGCATGGAATACTACATGCTGCCCTACGTCGAGCAGTACTTCCTCTCATACGACATCGCAAACTTGGTAGCAATAAAGTATCTGGCTAGTGGAATGGCATATGTGGACCTCGCACACTTTTTCGGGCTGTCAAAGACCCTTTGTCATGCACTCGTCAACGTGTGGCTGATGCACTTCCCGTCCGTCTTCAAGCAGCCATGGGTGCACTTCCCGACTCCAAAGGACCTCGCCGAGATGGCCGAGGAGTTCCGCACCGTCAAAGGAGTACCTGCTGTGGTTGGGGCCATCGATGGGACGCACATACACATAAAAGGAATGGAAGGGCACAGACAAGAGTACTACACGAGAAAGTCGGCATACGCAGTCCAATTGTAGCTGACATGTGATGTGCGTGGCATCATATGGGATTACATGATCGAGGGAGTGCTCACGACCAACGGGTGTTCATGAACAGTGCGTTACAAGAAAGGTTGCACAACGGCGACATTGCACCTTATCAAATCGTGGGAGATGCTGCCTACCCACTTAGAGATTTCTGCCTGACCCCACTACATGCACCCCGTGAGGGCCTAATGGAAGACTTGGAGCAGTGCTTCAACTACTGCCAGAGCGCAACGCGCATGGTAGTAGAACGGTGCATCGGCGCCTTCTAAGGCAGATGGCAACTATTCGCGGGACGCAACGACTGCATATTGTGGCGCGTGCTTGCAGGTGCGACTTGCTCCGTAGTCCTGCACAACATGTGCGAGACAATGGGGCAGGTCAGGCGTGTCAATGAGGTGTGGGCAATTTTGCCACGGAACCGAGACCCATGGTGAACGCGTGGCGCGGTCGCCGACTTCAAGTGGGAGCCATGTGCCCCTCTCACACAAGCAACCCTCAAGGAGCGGCGCAAGCGGCTGGGTGAGGCGCTAGAGGCGTCGTACCTTACTCGGTGTCGCCGTGAACTCACGCCTCCTCGTCTGCCTCTGGGTTAGCAGCATCGTCGCCAGACTGCCCGCGACGGAACCAATCGTCGTCGCCGCCATCGGCGGCGTTCGTGGCCGGCTGGGGGTCAGCATCCGCGAGGACGTCATTGCGTGCAGGCGGAGCGGGCGCGGTCTGCTAAAGGCGTTCGCGGGCAATTCACTCGTCCTGCTGCATCCAGGCACGGACGAGGCCCTCAAGCTTGCACATCGCGTCCGCGTGGCAGCCCTTGATGGTCTCACAGACCAGCTTCGTGGCAGCCATAATGGCAGTCTCTGCGACCCGCGGGTGCTTGGAGGACGGGGTGCACTGCGGAGGGGGGGATGGACACGCAAGCCATGGACGGGAGGTGTGGGTTAGGCTTCTGGTACGTCTGCGATGCAAAGTTGTGAATGATATAATATGCTATGCTTACGACGAACAACTCTGAAACAAAAAATATGTATCGTAAACTCACCCGAAAATGTTGGAGTAGACGTTGCTGGGGCGGAAGTAGAAGGCACCGTGAACCCACACGGCACGTTAACGTTCGTGGCGCCTTCGGCGGCCACATCATGTGGGTGGGCGACGGCCCTATTGTTCTGGAAGAGTTCCATGCACGCGAACCACGGTGGCTTGCACACAGCGCCCGTCCGAACGCCTTGTCCCCCTTCTTGAGCTGCTTGTAGATGCAGACGAGCTTGACCCACTGTTTCTGAACTGCGTTGATGCCGCGAACCCACCCGGGGTTCTCCTTTTCGAGGTGATGGATGAGGCGCGCCCAATTCTGGGAGCCTTGCTTCCCAATGAGAGGCTCGAGCTCGTCTTTCATATACCAACAAGCGGCCACAAAGATCGTTTTCTCCAGTGGGAACCAGACGCTACGCTTCACCGGCATCATGTTGCGGGACTTTGGAGCGCGGCGTGGTGGCTCGCCACCCTTGGCGGTGGTCTTCGCTGTGGCTGCAGGCTTAGGACGGCCGCGGCGAGCGGCTGGTGTCGCGGGCTGCGTTTCCTCCAGTGCGTCAGCATCGTCCTCGGACTCGTCGCCCTCTCCGTCATCTTCGGAGTCGGACATTCCCTTGTCCTCCTCCTCGCCAGAGTTAGCCTCGTCGTCGGTGCCGACGGCGTCGTCGTTATAGTCAGGGTCGTCGTCATCGTTGTCAAACGCTTTGTCGTCGACCGAGCGTGAGGAGGCAACCCTGTCTGTGTCACGGCGCCCGTGCGTTGGAACGTCACGTGGCACTTGGTAGGAGGTGGCTCCCGGTGACGGTATTCCTTCAGGCAGCAGGGCTGCGGGTTTGCGTTCCGCGGCAAGGTGCTTGTTGATCCAGGCGATGTACGGGATCTCATTGAGATCTCGCAGGACGTCGGTTGCAGCGTCTACTAATGTTTTGCGCTTGCGAGCCATGGTTGCCAAAGAGAAGAGTTGTGCAAAAACGGGAGGCAATAGCGTAGAGTAGATCTTGGCAGGAGATGAAGAAGGGTTTGATGTAGGTGAGCTGCTGGAAGGGAAGGGAAGATGGGTTTGGCAGGCGGGCAGGGATGTGTTGCCTACGGGCGTGGGTACCACTCGATTGGATACACAAGCAGGGTGGTTTCTTTTGCCGCTCAAATTTGTCACCACGTCGTGCGTCCATATGCATGCGGTCGAGCTAGGCAAATGCTTGACATTTCGACACGTGTGCGATTTTTCATATGTGACGGGGCCTCGTCCAACTCGTCCGCGATATTACCGCATGTCACGCTGACCAATGATAAATACAGTAAAGGTTGCACTAGGGTGCCACGCGTTTCTGACACTATACATTATATGATGTTTCTAGGTGCCACAAAGCGTTTGAGACACAAATGTTGACACAGGAATGTACCCTGATTGCAGTAACCATTTACCAGTATAAAAATGGTAGACGCAAGCACACAGGGGAATTTACAACCTCAGCTGACAAAAGCAAATGCATAAAAAGATCCTTCTGAGGCTGACTGATACATTTGCATAAGCACCCTGCAAGCGGGTAAAAGATGCTGAAAGATTCGAGAAGCACCACGCGTGACCTGAAAGAACAAACCATATCTGTGTCCAATGACTGATACTAGAGTGCAGCACAGGAGAATGGCATGGCAGCCAGCCAAGATGGGTGGAGAATGGATCCTGGAATACTCTATTGGCTTCATTGAGATGAGAGAGTCATTGGCTTGGCACTTGCATTTACAACAATGTGAATACGGTACTCGCTCGCTGGCTACCAGTCATGCCAGTGGATGGAACAGAAACACTCTGGCTTACTGCGTGACAGAAGCAACTAGCCGCACCCCTGATGCGAGTCCGAACGGGAATGCCCAGCCCAGCAACATGCCAAACCGCGCAGTAGAAGGATTGCCTCTAGAGGAACGGTTGTGAAGATTGTGAACGTTTTCATTTAAAGCAGCCGAGGAAGGTTGCGAAGCACCGGTTCGTCATCACTATTGTATCGCCGCTGTCGTTATCCTATCAGCTGTCCTCCTATCACCGGATCAAAATCTCCACGTCTTGCCCTCTGCAGATACACACAGCAGCAGCAGTGCAAGGGATAGGCAAAAGAGTGTGCAGCTTGCCACTAAGCACGTTCACAACCACCCCTGCCCACTACTCATGGGACTCACAGAGCATGCCTGCAAATGAGCAGGTCCTCGTCTCTACGCTGGGGCACCCCGACCCCTTCCCCACTGCTGCCGCCCTCAGCCTCGTGCTCACTGCCCACTACCCAATGCCCCTTGACCCTTGACTCCCGCCCTCTACCCTTTGCCCATGGTACTCACAAAGCGTGTGTGCGAATGAGCAGGCCCCCCTTTCTGCGCCGGCCCACCCCCTCTCATTGTTCTAAGCGCCTTCTCAGCTGAGTCTTGCCTCGCCGCAACACCCGCCCACAGTCTGCTTCCCTTCCGCAGCTCCCCTCCCGCCCCCTGCTCCCCTCCCGCCCGCTGCCCCCCTTCTCCCACTGCCCCCCTCTCTTCTTCTGTCTCCTCCCTCCGCTACCTTGTCCGCCTCTTCTGCCTCGTGTCAGCCCGTGATCGTTGTATGGGTGGCGCCGCTGCTGCTTCCATTCCCAAATATTGTTTAGCACTCACACACATCTGCTCCCTCTACTCACGTGCCCGCCTCTCCTACCATGTGTCAGTGCACGATCATTGCATTGGAGGAGGCACAGGTGCTCTCTCCCTCCCTGCATCCGCTCTCTCCCCCTCGCATCCGGCATTGCTTCGGGACTCAACTCCAGCAATAGCATTCCCTGCAGCAGCTCAAGCTCCTTCCCGTTCCTCCTTCCGTCCCTCCTCTACCCCCGACCTAATAATCACTACCTCTCCTTCCAACTCTAGGCACATCTCCAGTCCATCCAATCCCATCCCAGCACTGCCAGCACACATTCCAACAACTTTCTAACAGAGCTCCTCCAGCCTCCTTGACTCCTCCATTCTGGGCATCTTCACCATCCAAGCCCCCACCTCCTCCCACTCGCCCTCCCTCACTCGCACCTCCCTCACTCCCCTCTCGCCAGCCATTGCTAAGATCTCTTCCTCCTCCTCCTCCTCCTCCTCCTCCTCCTCCTCCTCCTCCTCCTCCTCCTCCTCCTCCTCCTCCTCCTCCTCCTCCTCCTGCGTAGCGTAGTAGTACGATTACTCCAGTGCTGCCGCCTCGCTGCCCTCGCTCGCGCCCGTGCTGCTCCGTCTCCCTCTCCAATGCTGTCGCCTCGTCCAACAGCCCCTTCTCCTTCCTAGCTGCCTCCCCTGACATGGCTTCGCACTGCGCCAGCTCAGCCTCTAGCGCTGCCAGCCCCTCTGCAGCTACACTGTCAGTTCAAACTGTGTCTCAGATATTCACAAAACCTGGCGAAAGAACTCTTTCCCCATCGCTTTGTGAGGTGCTTCTCGCTCTTGTCCCTCTTGACCTCTTGCCCCTCATTCTCCCCCTGCCCATCCTCATTCTCATCATCCTCTCCTCTGGTGGTGCTCGCTTTGCCTCGTCTGCTCCTTAGCATGGGACAGCAGCAGCTGGTGCACCTTCAGCTATATGGACTGCTCCCTCCTCTTACCAGCTATTACCCTCACTCCCACCATCCCTTCTCTCTCCACTCCTCTCACCTGGTGGCTCTCGCTCTGCTTAATCTGTTCAGCTGCAGCTGCTGTGTTAGCTCCACGTACTGCTGGAGCTGCTGCTGCAGGGCGTACAGATGGCAAGAAGGAAGCAGCACGGGGAGACAAACGAGGGGGTCACATGAACAACAGCCCACAAGCCAGCAGGTGAATGTGCTGCCGCAGGATGTACTGCCGACTCTACTGGTAGGTGTGCTCTCATGTCGTCAAATGCATTGGACTCAGCTCATTTCAAGCAACCATGCGTGCACACAGGAAACTCACCAGCCACCGTGTGCTCACTTGGCTCAAGCAACACACCTATGCCAGCACCCAGTGCAGCTCTGCCTTCCACGTTGCCAGCTGGATATTTTCCCCTTTCACTGAACACTCAAGAGTGTTCATTGAAAACTCTCCACCCCCATGTGCACATGACCAGTCAGCTCAGCTTAAGTGACTCACCTCTGCCAGGATGTGCTGCAGCTGTGCCTCCAGTGCTCCGAGCTGCTCCCTGTCCTCCACCGTACGCAGATGCGAGAGCAGCACACCGCCCCCCCTGTACAACGAACAACATGCGTACGTTAGAAACTCAGTAGTTGGGTGGAGGCGTAAGGTGCTTGGAATCTACAGGTGGCGATCACATACTGGCCAGAATGACAAGGTTCACCACACGACATTCTTACTCCCTTCTTTTCAACCAGCCTCTCTTTCACGACCCCACCCTTCTTACCCCCTCACCTCTGTGACCTGCCTTTGCATTAGTGCGAGGAGTCGGGATTTCAAGGGCGTCCGGGTCCCCCTCAGAGGTTAGCAGTGAGGCGCGGACGTCAGGAACAGCGGCCGCAAGGAACACCAACTCGAACTTCCTCTCCTCCAAGACCTCCAAGTTAAAGACACGAGCACCCCCGAGGGACGGAAAACGGGCAGGACCACTCACCAACTGAGCGGAATAGTGAAGGCGGTGGGTGTCAAAACATATAGTTCTGATCATTCCACTCTAGGTTGTATAGGGGTCATTCCTTAGAGGGTACAACCCAATTCTCTCGATAGTCTTGTACCCCTCCTTACCTAATCAACATTCCTTCCTAGTATTCCAACATGGTCTTAAGAGCTAGGACGTTCCTAGCCTAGGACCGTAATTAAGGGCCCACCACATTCGTTTTCACCTGCCCGACCCTTTAGTTTCTACCCTGCCCAGCGTTTCGCGCTGCCCTGCCCTTTTCTGCCGTGCGCAGCCCGTACAGTCCGCGTAGGCCCGAGCACAGCCCGTACAGCCCGCGCCAGGCAGTCGCGCAGCCCGTACAGCCCACGCCAGGCCCGCGCGCAGCCAGTACAGCCCGCGTAGGCCCGTCGCGAAGCCCGTACAGCCCGCGTAGGCCCGTCACGAAGCCCGTACAGCCCGCGCCAGGCCGTTGCGCAGCCCATACAGCCCACGTCAGGCCCGCACGCAGCCCGTACAGCCCGCGCCAGGCCCGCAGGCAGCTCGTACAGCCCGCGCCAGGCCCGCACGCAGCCCTTACAGCCCGCGCCAGGCCCGCACGCAGGTCGTACAGCCCGCGCCAGGCCCGCACGCAGCCCTTACAGCCCATGCCTGGCCCGCACGCGGCCCGTGTTACTGCTGCACTCGCTGCTGCTGCTACGCTGCTGCGCCTGAACTGCTGCTGCAGTGCTACTGCCGCCTGCACTGCCCTGCTACTGCTGCTGCTACTTGCTGCAGCTGCTCCTCCTTGCTGCTGCTGCTGCTACTTGCTGCAGCTGCTCCTCCTTGCTGCTGCTGCTGCTACTTACTGCAGCTGCTCCTCCTTGCTGTTGCTGCTGCTACTTGCTGCAGTTGCTCCTCCTTGCTGCTGCTACTGAGCGCCGGCTGCTGCTGCTGCTTGCCGCTGCTGCTCCGCCACTGAGCCCGAGCCGCGCCTCCTTGTCCGAGCCGCGCAGCCCAACCCGAGCTGTCACTGCTGCTGCTGCTGCAACTACTTTTGCTGCTACAACTAGTGCTACTGCTGCTGCTGCTACTACTGCACTTGCTACAACTGCTACTGCTGCCACTGCTACTGCTGCTATGGCTAACCTGTCAGTTCTTACGTTCGATGCTGAGGGCCGCACGATTACCTTTGATGTCTGGCTCGACGATCTCCAGCTGTTCCTGCAGAGCGAGTCTAAGGATGGCGTTTCCCTGTTTTTACACAATGAGGGAAAGCTCCCAGCCCCTGCTGCCGGCGCTGTAGAGGATCTGTCTAAGTGGCTCATGCGTGATGCAGCTGCCCGCCTTGCTGTCCGCAACCACCTGCCCGTCACTGAGCGCGCGCATTTTAGCCGGCAGAAAACGGCCAAGGATCTCTATGACGCTGTCGTTTCTCGCTACTCCTCCCCAGCTACTTCTGCTGTAGGCCGTCTCATGCTGCCGTACCCGCATCCCGATCTAGCTGAGTTCCGCACTGTTTCTGACCTCTTTATCTACCTCCGCTCTAGTGAGGATCGCTTCCGTGCCGCTCTCAAGCCGGCCTTTCTCACTAAGAACCCCCCCCCCGCAGTATTTCACCCTGTACTTTCTCATCACTCGCCTCCCTGACTCCCTTCGCACTGTCAGGGACCAGTTCCTAGCCATGGACCCCACTGAGCTCACACTTGACTCGCTTGAGAAGGCCCTTCTCGAGGTTGAGAAGAGCACTGTCGCTGTCGTTGCCTCTCGTGGCACCCCCCGCTCCCCCTTCTTTAAAGGGTGTACTCCCTCCCCTCTCCTCCCCTCAGTTGCTACCGTTGCTGCAGTCGACCTCCTGGTGCTGAGGACGTTGGCGCTGCGTCTGCTCCCAGTGGAAGGTGCAACAACAGCAAGGGCAGAGGGGGCAGGAGTGGTGGTGGTGGCAGCAGCGGAGGGGGTGGCGGGGGTGGTGGCGCGGGTGGTGGAGGCTCTGGGGTTGGCTCTGGGGTGACGGCAGTGGAGGAGGCAGACAGGGTGGAGGAGGCGGAGGTGGTGGGGGAGGCAGTTGGGGTAGCAAGGGCGGTGGAGGAGGTCGGGGGGGGTCTGGCAAGGGTGGTGGCGCTCGTGGACCCTCCCGTGGCTACAGGAGTGGTCAGCAGCTGCCGCGCCTCCCGGACAACCCCACCGACCAGCAGCTCCGTGAGTGGGTTCTCCAGCGTGGGGGCTCTAGTCGCTGCCCTTATGTCCGGTGCACGGGGCTTCTGAAGGGCACAGTCTGCGGGAAGCCGCACACTGAGTACAAGTGCTTCTGCCGTCTTGAGGACGCCTGGGTGATTGAGTACTCCGAGGACCAGCAGGTGCCGAACTGGCTGCAGCTGATAGGGAAGGAGGTAGATGTGTTTGCTCTTGACTTTGCTAAGATCAATGCTGCTCTCTATGCTATGTATGTTGCTGATTATAGTGTTGAGGGTGCGTGTTACTCGTGTGTGCCATGCGATGCTGGTGGTGATGCTGCTCCCACAGGTGCTAGTGAGTCTGCTGCCGCCCTAGGTGCTAGTGTCGCTACTGCCCCAGGTGCTAGTGAGTCTGCTGCTACTGCTGAGGTCTTGCACACTTTCACACTTGACTCTGATGCGTCCCGTTGCTTCTTTCTCGACTGCACCACTGTCACCCCACTCACTACACCAGTCCCAGTCTCACTGGCGGACCCCTCTGGGGGCCCGGTGGTTGCACGCCACTCCACTGTCCTCCCGTGCCCAGCTGTCCCCTCTGGCTCTCTGTCCGGTCTCCACCTCCCCTCGTTCTCGATGAACCTGGTGAGCAACGCCGTCCTTCAAGATGTATGGGTTGACACCTTTACTCCTGGTAGTTCTACCACCCTGCCTCGCGTCGTGTTCTGTCCTCTCAGGACGTCACCTTCGACGAGTCGGTCTGTTACTACCGACTTCACCCGCACGCGTCCCACCCGGTTCCCCTCGCACCTCTCTTCCTGGTACCAGTCCCCCCCCCCAGTAGACCCCCTTCCCCCACAGGGTCCTGCTCCCTCAGGTGTGTCTCAGGTAGACCCACCCCCCGTGGATGAGCCAGTTGAGATCTCTTCTGACTCCTCTGACTCACCTGAGGGGGGTGACGCCGTCGCCGACGACACGGCGACCACTCGCCGCAATCCTCGCTTGGAGACCCCCCCGGGTTTCCCGCCACGGCCGTCTTCGTCGCCTCCGCAGCCTGCTGCTGTGGACTCTGGAGCTGAGACTACTGGAGCTGGGGCTGGGGGTGGGGAGTCTGGGGGTGCCCGCTCTCCTCGTCTGGCTACTCCCCCCGGGTTCCCACCTCTGCCGTCTTCGCCGCCTCTGCGGCCTGCTGCTGTGGACACTGGAGCAGAGACGGAGGGTACTGAGCCTGAGGGTGCTGGGACTGAGGGCACTGAGCCTGAGGGTGCTGAGACTTAGTGTACTGAGCCTGAGAGTGCTGGGACTGAGGGTACTGAGCCTGAGAGTGCTGGGACTGAGGGTACTGAGCCTGAGAGTGGTGAGACCGAGAGTTCTGACTCTGGGGATGCTGCGAGTTCGGGTGCTGACTCTGGGGGTGCTGCGAGTCCTTCTGGTGTTGGTGTCGTCGGAGCTCCTACCGGAGGACCTGGAGCTACTGGTGCTGGAGGTACTGGAGGTGCTACTGGTGCTGGAGGTTGTGGAGCTGCTGGTGCTGGAGGTGCTGGAGTTGCTAGGGGTACTGGAGCTGCTGGTGCTGCTGGTGCTGGAGGTGCTAGAGGTACTGGAGCTGCTGGTGCTGGAGGTCCTGGAGGTGCTAGAGGTGCTGGAGGTGCTGGGGCTGGAGGTGCTGGAGGTCCTGGTGGAGCTACTGGTGCCCTTCGCCACCTTCTCAGTCTTCAGCCAGGTGCTACTGGCATTCCTGTGGCAGGTACTACTCTTCCATTGCTGTGTCCACCGGCGGACCAGTCACAGCCGCCAATGCTACCACACTCCCCACTGCCTGCTCCTGCTCCTTACACTGCGGGGTCAGAGTCCCTGACTGAGCGTCGAGAGCCTGAGACTCGTGCTTCCACCCCTGAGCGTCGAGAGCCTGAGTCTAGCTCCTCCTCCTCCTCCTCCTCCTCCTCCTCCTCCTCCTCCTCCTCCTCCTCCTCCTCCTCCCCCTCCTCCTCCTCCTCCTCCTCCTCCTCCTCCTCCTCCTCCTCCTCCTCCTCCTCCTCCTCCTGCGTAGCGTAGTAGTACGATTACTCCAGTGCTGCCGCCTCACTGCCCTCGCACGCGCCCGTGCTGCTCCGTCTCTCTCTCCAATGCTGTCGCCTCGTCCAACAGCCCCTTCTCCTTCCTAGCTGCCTCCCCTGACATGGCTTCGCACTACTCCAGCTCAGCCTCTAGCGCTGTCAGCCCCTCTGCAGCTACACCGTCAGTTCAAACTGTGTCTTAGATATTCACAAAACCTGGCAAAAGAACTCTTTCCCCATCGCTTTGTGAGGTGCTTCTCGCTCTTGTCCCTCTTGACCTCTTGCCCCTCATTCTCCCCCTGCCCATCCTCATTCTCATCATCCTCTCCTCTGGTGGTGCTCGCTTTGCCTCGTCTGCTCCTTAGCATGGGACAGCAGCAGCTGGTGCACCTTCAGCTATATGGACTGCTCCCTCGTCTTACCAGCTATTATCCTCACTCCCACCATCCCTTCTCTCTCCACTCCTCTCACCTGGTGGCTCTCGCTCTGCTTAATCTGTTCAGCTGCAGCTGCTATGTTAGCTCCACGTATTGCTGGAGCTGCTGCTGCAGGGCGTACAGATGGCAAGAGGGAAGCAGCACGGGGAGACAAACGAGGGGGTCACATGAACAACAGCCCACAAGCCAGCAGGTGAATGTGCTGCCGCAAGATGTACTGCCGACGCTGCTTGAAGGTGTGCTCTCATGTCGTCAAATGCATTGGACTCAGCTCATTTCAAGCAACCATGCGTGCACAGAGGAAACTCACCAACCACCGTGTGCTCACTTGGCTCAAGCAACACACCTATGCCAGCACCCAGTGCAGCTCTGCCTTCTGCGTTGCGAGCTGGATATTTTCCCCTTTCACTGAACACTCAAGAGTGTTCATTGAAAACTTTCCACCCACACGTGCACATGACCAGTCAGCTGAGCTTAAGCAACTCACCTCTGCCAGCATGTGCTGCAGCTGTGCCTCCACCATACGCAGATGTGAGAGCAGCACACCGCCCCCCCTGTACAACGAACAACATGCGTACGTTAGAAAAACAGCAGTTGGGTGGAGGCGTAAGGTGCTTTAAATCTACAGGTGGCGATCACATACTGGCCAGAATGACAAGGTTCACCACACGACATTCTTACTCCCTTCTTTTCAACCAGCCTCTCTTTCACGACCCCACCCTTCTTACCCCCTCACCTCTGTGACCCGCCTCTGCATTAGTGCGAGGAGTCGGGATTTCAAGGGCGTCCGGGTCCCCCTCAGGGGTTAGCAGTGAGGCGCGGAGGTCAGTAACAACGGCCGCAAGGAACACCAACTCGAACTTCCTCTCCTCCAAGACCTCCAAGTTAAAGACACGAGCACCCCTGAGGGACGGAAAACGGGCAGGACCACTCACCAACTGAGCGGAATAGTGAAGGCAGTGGGAGGAGGCAAAGTCAGCGTCAGGAGTGACAAGAGCCGAGACAGGCGATGACGGAGCAGACGGGTGACCAACGAACATGGGAGATGACAGGATGAGCGGCGCGGAGAGAGTCAAAGGATGGCACACAAGACACAAAGAGGGGCACGGGAGGCAACGGGAAGACCGAAGGAGGTGAAACACGAGATCAGAGAATGAGGTGAAGACCATCGATACACTAACGAGACGGACGAGGCTTTGGAGACACAACACGACGATTCCACGGGGACACAGAAAGTGACAGGTTCGGAAAAGGAGGAGACTGCAGGGGAGAACGGACAAAGAGCACAGGTGCGACGGCAGGAAGCCCCTGCTGCCGCCACCGCTTTGATGCCGCAGGCGTCTGCAGTGGCTGGAACTGCAATTGCTGTTGCGTCTGCATTTGCTCTTCCTTTACCCTCTCATGCTGCGGCTGCAACTGCTCCCGCTGCTGTGGCTCTGGCTCCTCTACCCTTCCTTGCTACGGCTGCCCCTGATGCTGTGGCAACAGCTCCTCCTCTACCCTCTATTATTGCTGCTGCTGCCGCTCCTCCTCCACTCTCTCAACCCGCTCTTGCTCCTCCCTCTCCAGCTGTAGACAATGCAGCTCATGTGCTAGGTAATGTACGGCAGGCTGAGTAGGCGCCCCAGAGTTAGCGCCTCTGGTTCCATCACCCACATAACTAGAACCTCCAGTGCTGGAACCTCCACCAATAATACCCCCAGTGCCTCCTGTGCCTCCCGCAGGAACACCCCCAGACCTCGCAGCAACCAGACGAGGAGGGAGCTGCGAGACGGACGAGAAGCCAAGGGGTGAGGCAGGGCGGGTCTGTTGACGCGAGGCAGCTGTGTCCTCCATAAGAGGGGCCTCTACAGGGGTACTGACCATACCCCCAGAGCCGTCACCACCAGCCCCAGCACCCTTTGGGTCTGCACCCTCCACAGCTGCACCTCCGGCACCCCCAGTCTCGACAAGGAGTGGGCGCTGCGGTGACAGCATCCAAGGAGACGACTCCGGGGTAACGTGCGACACACCTGAAGGAGCTGGACGCGAGGGGGGAAGGGGGGAAGGGGAGGGGGCTACCGGAGGAGTGGGTTGGGGGGACTGGGGGGGGGGGAAGGGGGAGAAGTCCTCGGTACCCCAGTAGGGGCGACTCCTGTAGTAACAAACTGACTTGTCAGAAGCGACGTCCTGGGAGGCCAAGAATTGATAGGTTGTCAAGTCGTAGAACGCCTAGCTATCGGCGTCCAGAGGTAAACCAAGGAAGACGCAGGGACGGTGCAAGCAAACAACTTCTCTGTGCCAAGGGCGCGGATGTAGTTTAGAGAGCCCCCAGACATGAAACGCAGGTGCAACACTATAAGACCCAGACCAAAGGCGAGCCGGCGTAACTTGTGAGCATGAGGTACGGGGCCTAGGTTAAGCTGGGCGTGGCATAGCGGCATGCCTGAGGCCACAGAAATCGGGGGGCACCGGCATAGCACACGGAGGTACGGAGAATCTCCATGACCAAACTGATGCGTCGCTCAGCAACCCCATTTTGCTGTGACGAGTCCGGTAACGGGTAGGTCTGGGTCAGGAGCGGTCTAGTGCAGTGGGGCATGGTTAGGCAGAACGAAATGAAGGCACGTGTGGCTGCTGCCCCATTCAGCATTGCGAGAGAGATCTCCGACGGGACAACCCTGAAGCAAAGATCAATAACAACAGAGTTCGTCGCCTTCTACTTTGTTGGAATAACCGAAAGGTTATCTTAGACATTCCCGAAGGTTCTCCACTCTCGCGTCACTCCATAACGAAGTGAACGCCTGTACTAGTACCGCAATAGCTCATATAGAGCACGCGGAAGGTCGAGGGTCACCCGAAGGTCAACAATCGAAGACAGTCAACAGTCGTGACCCTTGACTGCCCAGTAACCGCACAAGGCAGTTGCGAAATGCAATATGGTAACTGTCTAGAATGGCAATAGTCGTGGTTACTGTAGCAATGCAATTCGGTTAATAAGGGAATGTACCCCTCAGAGTACATGACTAGCTAGGATTACTATTTATATCCTTGTACTTCTATCTTATAATCATCTTGTTCTCTTTCAACGTATTAACAAGGTCATTACAGAGACTTCACAGTTCTCTCCCCTCACACTTGGCGACTTTATCCTATTCACTTCGATCCTCAGTTATAACATTATGCTTGGCATAAGCAGGATCCTCTGGATACTGCCAGTCAAATGTAAGGTATACTCCGTACTTGCATTTATGCTCAACCTGATTACGCCACACAATGGTAGAATCTGAAGCTTTAGTAAAAGCAACATGCATGTGACCATAAAGCTTCTTTGAAAGGTAAGCTAACGACAACTCTGGAAAATTCGTGGTGGTTTGGGCTTAGTCATGGTGGTTTGGTTTGGTTCTTCGATCCGTGATGAGGAACTAGAAAACCTTGTCTCGTTTTATATAAATAGGAAGAACATAGGGATTTTCCGTCTATGGGTAAAATGTAATATTCTCCCATCATGATGTTTCTTATACGAGGAACAAAAATCTACGCAACCGTTCCGACATAAACTTCGAATCTTGTTTCGCCATAGTTTTTTCTTTCACATTATCAACAGGGTATGCCAGCAGGGGGGTGCCATTAGAAGAACCGTAGGGATGCCATCCATGGCACCGCAGAGACGCCATGGATGGCACCGCAAGGGGGTGCCATCCCAAGCCGCCTCCGCTTGTCGACGTGCAGGGGAAAGACGAGCGCGGACGTTGGGCTCGCCCTCGCGTCTTTCCGCACACAGCTTTGGCTGTCGCGCTTCCGAGGCACTCGGCGATTTATTCTAACCCTTCTCCAGCAGACCTCCATTCAGATCTGAGCCGCCAACTCGCTTGCCCTGTCAACCACCTGCAATACGTCGCAGCTAACGCTTCTGTCCACAGGCACAATAATGGAGCGCGCGGCATCGCTCCTATGCGTCGTCCTGCTCTGTAAGCGCGACTGCTGTACTATCACTGCTAGTGGAATTGGAGATGGCAGCCAGTGATGCCTCCGTGCGGCACACACTCTCTGCTGTGTTTTCGCCGACAGCCACGCCGCTGGCTGGCGTTTTTGAAGCAGGCAGTCCAAGTCGATGTTTGTTCCTCATGCACCCTCTGCGGCCTGCCTGCAGGTGTGTCGCTCTTCACTTCCGGCACCGCCACGCCTCTTGGACCAAGCGACGTCGCTGCGCCTCTTGGACCAAGCGACGTCGCTGCGCCTCTTGGACCAAGCGACGGCGCCGCGGTCATACCTACCGTTGCTCAGGCCAGTCCTCTGGTGTCGAAAGGCGGGAAGGCCATCGGTAAGTGCTCCCATGTCTGCATCGGATCCGTCGCTTCACTTCGCAACGGTCTGCAAGCATTTGTACAAGGGCACGCATGTTCTCGCAGTTCATGCATGCTGCTTTTCAAGATCTGCTGTGGCCCTGCGGTGTTCGTGAATATGAAAGAGGCTAGGAGTTGAAGCCGATGTGCTTGCCTTCCAAGAGAAGTCCTATCCCAGCCCGATCAGCTCACCATAATCAGCCTCATCCCCCCTTCCTTTCTCATTCCCATTTCCAGTGAAATACGTGGTTAAGCTGCGACCCACCAAGGTCAATGGGAAAGTAATTGGCGACATTGGAGCATGGGGGAAAGCAGTGGCCAAAGCGATCAGGTACTGATTCGTCCCATTCAATTACAGCTGGTGCTGCCTCTCATACACACACTAAACCTTCAGGTCATTTCTCAGCACATTGTGACCCCAGGACATTTCATGCTCCCACTGATCGACTTCTAAAACTGATTCTTCTGTTGATCTGAGGCTGGCCTCAATTTAAGCTCGAGAGGGAGAATATGTCTCTGCACCCACTCCCTCTGCCACATTTCCCCGTGTCCCACTGGCAGGCGCTCTGCAAGTAAGTACTACATCATCTACAAGGTGAAAGTCATGAATATCAGGTCTGGAGGAGCCGTACCCGACGTTGGTTCAGGCAGTTCCTGCCTGGGTGCCGTTGTAGGGCAGCAGACCTGGGTTAACACGACGACCAACAAATCTGGTCGGCGTAAGCGCTACAGCTTCACGACAACCACGGAATTCGGCCCAATGAGTGAGAAGGATGCTAGGGTTGGGATAAAAGACGTGATTCCAGTCAACAGTTATGTTGTTGCGGTTCACGCAAATAACAAAAACGCTCTCTGTATGAAGCGGAAGAAGGGGGCTAAGTAGTTTAAAGGCTAATATAATCACTCAGATCTTGTGTCTGTGGATGCAATCTGGACTTTAGATCTTGTGTTTGTATGTACCACTCGAGGTGTTGCTAATGTACCCCTATTAGAATGTATCACGTATACCGTATTTTGTTAAACAACCAACACTGATCACCATGAGAAAAGAGTGGAACTTTGACAAGTTGATACACTTGCCTACCTATTTACTACCAAGAGTGGAGTATTTGTTCAGTAACCATGGTTTGATGTGGCAATGCTATGAAGAGGATACCACCGCCGCACAAGGGCCGCTGCTACCTTGTGGTCCGCCCGGCCAAATGCCTGAAAGCAGCGAAGGGGGAAAGCAACAGAAAAACAACGTTTTACAAACACCATATCCAGCAGACCCGCTACTTCAGCAGCAGCATCAAACCACGCGCACCTGTGAAAAGCCATAGATGGTGATTTGCTTCTTTGCAGCATCATGGTTGATCCGACCGCCACCCACAGCCTCCACCTGCCCATGCAGAATACGAGTTAGGCACGGTGCATGCAAGCCTTGCAAGGGGCCCCAGGGCACAGTGTGCCCCATCACATGATACGCACCCATGTGCATGCACCCCTGGACTTGACATGTCCTGAGGGCGCATCGGCACACAGAGATGTCAGACGGCAGCAGCACGCTGGTAAGCCCAGGATACTGGGAAGAAGCTTGTAACACTGTCATGACGGACGCATCACATGTCAGGGTGTCATCACTTGAGAAGCACACATACCTGGTTCCCAGGGGTGCTACCCATATGAAGCGAGTATTAAATAGCTTTCAAATCCAGAAAAATGCTTATTATCAGTCACTGTACCACATCTTATTGCTTCAATAACGGTATCTCGCCCTACTACTTCAGAACCCGCACCACGTCTTACTTCCTGAATGGCACTACCTGAGGCCCAGGGGCGCCATGAAGCGTACCTTGAGGACCAGGGGTGCCATGAAGCGTACCTTGAGGCCCAGGGGCGCCATGAAGCGTACCTTGAGGCCCAGGGGCGCCATGAAGCGTACCTTGAGGCCCAGGGGCGCCATGAAACGTACCTTGAGGCCCAGGGGCGCCATGAAGCGTGCTGTGTGCTGCAGCACGTCGTTGTGGAATGGCGCCCTCTTGTCCCCCCGCACTATCTGCGCAGGGTGGGGGGAGAGAGGGAGGAAAAGATGAGAAAAGGTGAGGAGCGGGAGGAAGGGAGGAGAAGGACGAAGGGAGAAGGTGGAGGAGGAAGAGGGGGGAAGGGAATTTTGGAGGGCATGCAAAAGAGAGTGGGTCAGGAAGAAGAGCAGAGAGTACAAGGCTTCACTCCTTTCATCCCCACAGGCTAACTCACAGGATGAAAGAGGGAGCTTACTCACAGGTACCGGTTACTGTCCCTGCACCCAGCAACGCCATGGATGTGCCATGGGTGCAACAGAGTTCGCCATGGGAGCAGGAAGCCACATCCATGGGTTCGCATGCCATGCCTGCACTCACTCTTACTCAGGTGCACCCACTTACACCGCGCCATACTCCACTCCACCTGGCCTTGGAAGAGGCGGCATTGCCTTGGTTACCAGCTTAGCGGAATTTCAGTGTCCAGCTCGGAAGCATTGCCTGACCAGATTGATTCCAATGGTTATAGGCTTAGCAGAGGACGGTTGAGGACGGTTGAGAACGGTCAAGGACGGTCAACCCCAGGTGCTTACCAGCTTGGAACGGTCTTGGTCTGGCGACTTGAGGCGAATGAGGACATACTTGAAGATGCCTGGATGAGATGGGGTGGAATGAGATGGGACGGGGTGGTATGGACAGGGTGGTATGGACGGGGTGGTATGGACGGGGTGGTATGGACGGGGTGGTATTGTGCAGGGCGCGATGAGAGCAAGAGTATGAAGAGAGCAAGTATGGGTGATGTGGTGCGAGCAAGGCATCGTAGTGGTGGTGTGTATGCAGAGTATGTGGCACGGTAATCGAACGTGTCAATATCAAAGACAACTGTGCAATATCCACGTCACATGTGTCAACATCCACGTCACCTGTGTCAATATCCACGTCACATTTGTCAACATCCACGTCACCTGTGTCAATATCCACGTCACCTGTGTCAACATCCACGTCACCTGTGTCAATATCCACGTCACCTGTGTCAATATCCACGTCACCTGTGTCAATATCCACGTCACCTGTGTCAATATCCACGTCAGGAACCCCGTGTCCAGGCCAGTCCCCATCCTCCACATCCTCCTTCTCCTCCCGTCCTTCCCTCCCTTCCCCTCCCCCATCCCCCATGGCCCACCCCGCCAGCAGCGAGTGGGCGATGGCATGGGGGCCAGGGATGGCAACAGCAGAGCGGGGGAGAGGGGGGAAGGCCCACGTGGTGCCAGAGGGCTGTGCGGGCGGTGCAGGGGTGGCTGGGGAGTTATCTTCTGCGATGGAGAGATGTGTAGGGGAAGAGAGAAGGGGCGAGAGAAGAGGTTAGAAGACTAGAGGGGTGATGGCAAGGTAGGACAAGGGATTCAAGGAGACACTTTATAGTTAACAGATCAGAAGGGGATCAAAAGGAGGAAGAGCTGGAGGAGGAATGAGGGAGGTGAGGGTTGAAGAAGAAGGGGAGGTGAGGGGTGACGAAGAAGGGGAGGTGAGGGGTGACGAAGAAGGGGAGGTGAGGGGTGACGAAGAAGGGGTGGTGAGGGGTGAAGAAGAAGGGGAGGTGAGGGGTGAAGAAGAAGGGGAGGTGAGGGGTGAAGAAGAAGGGGTGGTGAGGGGTGAAGAAGAAGGGGAGGTGAGGGGTGAAGAAGAAGGGGAGGTGAGGGGTGAAGAAGAAGGGGAGGTGAAGGGTGAAGAAGAAGGGGAGGTGGGGGGTGAAGAAGAAGGGGAGGTGGGGGTAATGGTGGCAAAGGCTGTTGGCTGGGTGGGTGGGTAGTTCGAAGAAGATGTTGGCTGCGTAGTGGACAATGGTGTGACCCTTGTGATTGAACCAGCATCTGGCTGAATCTTGCCAAATCTGCTCCTTCTCGAGAGGCAAAACCTTTCTCTTGCTAGAGCCAGACATGTTGTGACTCAATTCGACTCAGTGTGTTTTTGGCGATTTTATTAAATGCCTGGTCCGAGCCGGATGTTGGGACTGAATTCGGCTCACCAGCAGGCGGCTGCTGTATCCAGGTGTTGCATGAGGAGTCGCTGAGAAGCGCTCTAATGAACTCCCGGTGGAACCACCTCGCATCCTGATGGTGGGAGGGGGAGGGATGAGGGTGGGACGGCAGAGGGAGTAGGCAGATGGAAAAGGATGAGGAAAGTGGAAGAGGAAAGAGGAAGAGGAAAGAGGAAGAGGAAAGAGGAAGAGGAAAGAGGAAGAGGAAAGAGGAAGAGGAAAGAGGAAGAGGGAGTAGGCGACACTGCAGCAGAGTAGGGAAAAGCCATTCCCGGAGGATCAGAGGGCCGGACGGCCAGGCGTGCGCAGTGCGCACGACATGCAGGTGCAGGTGCTGCCACGACATGCAGGTGCAGCGCCCCTTCCCTCCCCTGTGAGCCCATAGTCCGGCTGCGACAGGGCCATGGCAGGCAGGCGGGCTAGACAGTTGGAGGGTTGGATGTTGCGCGTTTGAGAAAAGACATGCCACCCGTGCCTCACCTCCAGCTCGTTGGTGTCGGTGCGCACGACAGGCAGCTGCTGCCACGGCACCAGGGCAGCGCCCCTCTCCTCCCCCGTCAGCCCGTAGTCCGGCTGTGACAGGGCCATGGCTGGTGGGCCAGATGGCAGGGCTTGCGCTGTGAAGGCGACCATTAGGGAGGAGGGGAAGGGCCATGGCTGGCTCGCGTGGTATCTGAAGAGAAGGGTAGGGGAGACACGGGAAGTAATTACAAATTTGGAGAGTTCAGTGCTTGCTCTGTGAAGGCGACCAGGAGAGAAGAGGACGGACCATGACTGGCTGGAATGATATCTGATAAGGACGGTGGGAGAGAGACGGGATAGCAAACAACAAGACAAGATAGCAACAGACAACCTAGGATAGGACGTCATGGCATCCAACCAGGTGCCGGCAGCACTATGCTACTGCAGGCGCATGCAGCCTACAACCACCTCGTCGCTCCCGACTGTTCTAGCAGCCGCATCGTCGACCCGTCCCCAAGACAGCGTGCTGACACGAGCCCGTTGATCACGTCTACAGGTGAGCGTGAACGCACTCGGGAGCCCACTACATCCATCTCAACGGCTGCCTCAGCTCCCAACCTGGGCTCCTCCCCGGGCTCAACCTCCGCACGCTCAAGCTCATGGCGGGGAACCCACGCTCCGTCCTAGCTGGCCAGCATCTGCTCGTGCCCCATCGTGCACGCCGACAATGGCACGTGCTACCGCGCCACTGCCGCCTTCTCCAACATCGCCGCAACATAGGTGTGCAAGTGCCACAAGCGCACAAGCAGCTGAGTCTCTACATCCAACACGCGGGCACAACCTTGGAACACTTACGATGTGCTGCTCTTGAGAGCCCCAACATCTGCCAACACCTCCACGCCCTCACCAACACGGCCCTCACCAACACGGCCCTCACCAACACGGCCCTCACTGGCTGCCTACGCCCCGAGGCCACGTCGCTGCTTACGTCCTCCCGTCTGGTAGCCGGGAGGGGGAATCCGCCCCATTGCCGTCGGCGAATGTCTGCACCACCTAACTGCGAAGTGCACACTTTACCTGACGGCCGCTACGGCCCGCGACTTTTTCACCCCGTACCAACTCGGCGTGGCGGTCCCAGGGGGTACAGAAGCGGCCATACACATTGTGCGCACGTACCTGGAGGAGAATTCCACTGCAACCGCACCTAAGATGGACATAGCAAACACCTTCAACGTTATCGAAAGAGCAGCCTGTTTTCCAAGGCATGCGCTCAACCCCACACGCCCCCCTCCTCCCGTTCGCCCGTCTCACATACGGCTCTGCCTCCACCCTGCAAGTTGACGCGGGGTTAAATGCAACATCGCCAACCAGCGCAAGGGGAGTTCGCCAGGGCGAACCAAAGGGGCCACTGCTCTTCGCGGCCGGCATCCAACGCTAACACGTCATCGCCACTGCCGCTGCATTCCCCAGCGTCGTCATCATCACCTACGCGGACGACGTCACCTTCCTCGGTCCCACGCCCGACTGCACCTCCGCCTTCACCCACCTCACGCCCGACTGCACCTCCGCCTTCACCCACCTCACGCCCGACCTTCTACCCAATCAGCCTGGCCCACAACCCCGCGATATGCTCGGCCTGGTCGCCAGGCCCCATTGACGACGCCGACCTCCCCTCCCCACCGGGATGCGCTACAACCGCGCTGGGCTGCGGGTCCTCGGCAGCCCCATCAAGACAGCCCACGGCTGCGCCACGCAACTGCGGGAAATGCTTGACGCGCAAGTGCTCCGCTACTCCTCGGCCATCTCCTTCCGCCTAGCCCCCCCCCTCTCCCTATCCCTAGACAATGTGACTGCTTGAAGGGAGTCAAATCCTGGACAGGCAGCTGCCCAACCCAACCACCTGCCACGCTGTGGGACGGGGAAAGGGAAGACAAGCTCCCACCACGGCCTGTGGAACGAATGTGCTCGAATAGCCAAGGAAGCTGGTTCACCTTTCACAAGGAGACGGCAATGTACTCGCCGGTTGAGAACCTATTTGCGAGTGTCTCCATGCGCGATCCCAACGCCGGCCAGATATGGACCTGTGACGTCACTGTCACGAACCCTATCTCCCGCTGCGACACTCATGCGCGGAAAGGCACGCGGTGGGCTGCCCGCCTAGCCGCATCCAAGTATGCCGTGAGGAATGACTGGGTGGGGTTCATCCCTATGGCAGTCGCGACATACGGCTGCACCTCACCGGGCGTGCTCGAATTCCTGAGACGGCGTGCCAACCCGCCGCCAACCAAACTTCGATTCAATCCCCCCCCTACCTCATCCGAAGCTGCAAAGCTGTTCCATGAGTATCGGCAGCGCTGGAGCATCACCTTGCAGAGAGGCCAGGCCCATGCCCTCAACCAGAAAACCAACACCGCCAGGGAGGCGGATGCGGGCGGGCCGGGATAGAGGACGCCATCGCCCCCCTAGACACAGGTTACCTGTTTTCAGCTTCTGGAGCCCCCGCTTGGTCCCCTTGAGGACCAGGCGGGTGGCATGTAGGATCCTTGCCTCAACTTCAACCTTGTATGCATGCTGATTATTCATACAAAGGACCATTCGAGTCAGGAAGTAATAACAAAGTTGGAGAGTTCAGTGCTGCGCTGTAAATGCGACCAGAAGAGAGAAGAGGAAGGGCCATGACTGGCTGACGTGGTATCTGGGGATGGGGGAGAGAAGGGTAGTGCTTGTGCTGTAAGGGAGGAGGGGAAGGAATGAGGAGGGAAGGAGGAGGGAAATAGGAGGGAAGGAGGAGGGAGGGAGGTTGGGGAGCGGAGGGAAGTAAGAACAAAAGGTGGGGCGGGGTTGGAGAGGGCGGTGCTTGAGCGGTGAATAGCATGAGCGGAGGGGAAGGAATGGCCATGAATGGCTGGTGGTAACAGATGTGAAGGAGGATGGGGGAGAGAAGGGAAAGCAAAGACAGGCGGAGTGCGGTGTATGTGAGCACACGGAGAGGTGGGAAGCGCCATGGCTGGTTGGCGTGATACTTGAGTGCAGGGAGGGGGGAAATGGGGAAGGGAGAGGCAACAGGACAGAAAAAAAGAAACACAATCATTGTACAATCAGGGTGCGCACTTGAGAGATCGCCGTGGCCACATGGGGCGAGTGGTACAGTGGTCACCGGTACAATTTTCTTGTGCAAACACCCTCGAGGGACGATCGAAAGAAGGCATGAGCATCAAACAGAAGCCAGAGAGTAGTCTTTTACTTGCTGGCTGACATGACCGGTACTAGTTCGGTTAGGGCCGGTTCGGCCGAGTTGAGTATTTGTGTTCCCGAGCCGCATCAAATTGACCAGGTTGAACGTTTTCCTCTGGAAAACCTCCCGAACCAGAACTGGTTCAACCCGAACCAAGCAGGAAAGTCGGTTTGACGCGGCAGCGGTTCCACCAATCCGGTCGACCCGAACCAGCACTGGTTTGGTAGGACTGATTGTGATTTGGTATGTACCCAGGCCTAAATGAAAGGGCCACGACAGGCCATGCTCACACTCACTTGACAGAGTCAGGAATCAGGATTGGCCCTCCAGCCCGCCACACCCTCCCGCTCCTCCTCCCACACGTCACACACCACGGCCATATCAGCAATCTCATCTCATCCGGCCATATCAGCAATCTCATCTCATCCGGCCATATCAGCAATCTCATCTCATCCGGCCATATCAGCAATCTCATCTCATCCGGCCATATCAGCAATCTCATCTCATCCGGCCATATCAGCAATCTCATCTCATCCGGCCATCCAACACGTTTGTTGACAGCAAGGCAAGAACCAGGCCGGACCAGGCACGTGAGCGTGGCAGTGCCTCACCTGACGGTGTCGGGGTCGACGTGCACGCGTGCCTCCTCCCACACCTCGCGCACCACCGCCATCTCAAACGCCTCCCCCACCTCCACAAACCCCGCCAGCACTGAATAGCGCCCATGCGGCCAGCGTGACTGGGAGGTGGGGGGTGTGGGAAGGGCAGAGGGAGGGGGGAGGGAGAGGAGAGAGGAGGATAAATCTGGGGCGGAGTGGGGAGAGAGAGGGAGGAGGAGGGGGGGGTGGGTGGGGTTGGAAGGAAGGGGCGAGGTCGGCCAAAGGAGAACAGGAGCGGGGGGGCACTTCACCACCCATCTGCTCGCCTCCCCTCATGTGCATCCCATCCCATCCCATCCCATCCCATGGCAAGTTGCAATCACTTGCACCCATCCCATCCCAACCCCTCTTTCCACCCACAGCACGCCCTCTTCGGGCAAGCACGCACGCAGCACGCTGCCTCACCTGCCGGCCCAGCAGCACGTAGTCGCCCCACGAGACACACATGATCACTGCCGGGTCCTGTGCGCCGGGTATAGGGGTGGGATGGCAGGGGAGGAAAGAGGAGGGGAGGGGAGGGGAGGGGAGGGGAGGGGAGGGGAGGGGAGGGGAGGGGAGGGGAGGGGAGGGGAAGGGAGGGGAGGGGACGGGAGGGAGGGAAGGTGAAGGGAAGGGGAACGAAGGGGAGAGGGGAATCAAGGCCATCATAACGAGAATGGTAAGATGATACAAAGAAGACCATCAGTGTTGATAAAGATGGGGGAGGCGGCAACGACGGCGGCAATAAGAACGGCAATGGCAGCTCACTCTGGAGAGCCGCTCACTCTGGAGAGCCGCTCACTCTGGAGAGCCGCTCACTCTGGAGAGCCACCACTCCGCCTTTCCATCTTGGTCGGTTGGCATCGTGGCAGCACGATGCACAGCACGGCACGACCCACCCATCAGACGTCCACTAGGGAGAGTGTGCCTCTCTGCAGCACGAGGCACACACGACTCACGAGGCACACACGACTCACGAGGCACACACGACTCACGAGGCACACACGACTCACGAGGCACACACGACTCACGAGGCACACACGACTCACGAGGCGGGGGAAGATGGTGGACGAGGAACACTTGGGCTTCCCAGCAGGCGATGGTGCTGGCGAGAGTGATGAGGGCTGTGCTGTGCCGTTGCTATCCGCTGCTGTTACCAGCCCAGCAGCAGCAGCAGCAGGGGCGGGAGGCACAGCGGCAGCAGGCAGGGCAGGCGGGGAGGGGAAGGAGTTGGTGCAGCGCCTGGCGTAGCCCCCCTCTGCTTGGATGAGAGGCGCCGCACACTGCGAGCAGAAGCGCTGGTGGTGAGGCAGAGAGAGAGGGGAGCACAAGAGAGGGGGGGCACGTAAGAGGGGGGTGTGTAAGAGGGCCACAGGCCACTCCATAGGCAGTGACCCACAGGCCACTCCAGCAGTGCCGGTCCAGCAGTCCAGAGGGCAGTGACGGACATGCTTGCTACTGCTCTCCAGATTCCAGCACTTGGGGGATGCTAGTCAACCCACTCACGTGCCGGCTGTGCCAGTCCATGAGCCCATTGGCATCTGCCAGCAGCCCACCCCTCACCTCATGGCCAGTGACTCACACGAAACCACCACTCCCCAGCCCAGCCCACAGTGCCACCATCGCATGACTCAACCCACTCACGTGCCGGCTGTGCCAGTCCATGAGCCCATTGGCGTATGCCAGCAGCCCCGCATCAAAGGCGGGCAGCGTTGGCCCCTGGGTGCGCAGAGACACCCACTGCGCGCCCTCAGGGGGGGTGTAGGCGGGGAGAGGCGCGGCAGAGGCGTCCTGGGGTGGTGACGCGGCAGAGCTGGCGGGCATATTGGGGGGAAGGATGGGAGGAGGGAGCAGGGCAATGGGTAGATTGTGAGAGAGTGCAAGTTGGTGCGAGGCAGCGTTGGCCCCTGGGAGCACAGAGACACCCACTGGGTTTTTTAGGGGGGGTGTAGGCGGGGAGGGGTGCGATAGAGGGGTCCTGGGGTGGCGATTGGGCAGATCTGAGAGGGAGTTCGGGGGAGGAAGGGGGGAGTAGGGCGGAGGGGGAGCGGCAGGGGGCATGAGGAGAGGGAAGCGAGTAAGGGGCTTGGGCGAGGGTAACTTGGAGGACACAATCCACTTGGGGTCAGCAGTGTGGGCGTATGTGGGGAGAGGCGAGGTGACAGGCTCTGATGATGGTGATGGGACAGCAGTGAGGGGACAGCAGTGAGGGGACAGTGAGTGAGGGTATTAGGTTGAACAAGGTTGACGCAGCCTGGCCAGAATGAGTTACACAAGATCCGACGGGAATGAATGGCATCACATTGCAGCGGGTGAGTGCGGGAGAGACGCACTCAATGGCGACAGCGAAGGCAGCGTGGCCGGACGGCATGAGGAGACCGAGGAAGCAAAACGGCTCCACTCCCGTGCCGCTTGCACTGCTGCTGCTGGTTGTGGTGGTGGCGGTGGTGGTGCTGTTGCTGGCAGCATCAGCCGCGCCATCAGAGGCAGCTGTGCCATGAGGTGCAGTGGTGGCGGGGTTGACGGTGATGTGAGCAGGCGAGGCGAGGACTGCCCGGCCATCCTTGATTAACGAGCGACCATGGCTCCATGGGATGACCTGATGGGGCCACGGATGGGCATGGCATGTGGTAAGAGTCATTGGTTATCCTTGCACTGTCTTATGTGCACAGCTCATGTGTGGAACAGCATGCTGCCTGCCTGCATACGTGAGGAACAGGAAGTTGGGCAGCCAACCTACAAGTACTTCATCACATACTCGCATGTGAGTTCCGTGGACGATGGATCGCCTGCGTACGTAATCCACGTCAGCGGAACTGGATCATGTGGCATGTCATACCATCGTGCCATGCCAGGACAAACGCCACGTCATGTCATGCTGACATCATCATACATGTCATATCACCGCAGCGCAACGGGCATGGCATGGCAGAGCACGACGGTGCACATGTGATGCCGGTTTAGTGCATGCCAGAATGGGTGCGTGGGTTCACAAGTCACGCATTGCATTGCACCCCATGCGTGCCTCGTAGCCCCCAGCCTCTCTCTCATACCAGCCTCACCGATCTGCTCGGTTTCTGTGGTCCCCTTCGCAAATCATACCACACCACACCACACCACGCCACACCACACCACACCACCACGTCACACCACGTCATACCACGGTGGTGGGCTTGCCAAGAGCCTTCTTGAGCCAGGCAGCATCGTTCCTGTACTGTCCCGCACGGTCCACGCTCACAGACGAGAAGAACATCCTGGGAGGATTCGCCTCCGCTGCTGCCCGCGCTGCTGCTGCCGCCGCCTCTCCCCTCACCCCCTTCGTACCCTCTGCCTCACTGCCCGCTGCCTCTGCTGCACTCCCTGCTTCCTCTTCCACTAGGCCTGCACTTTCTGTGAAGCTTCCTGCTCTCCCTCCGCTGAAGTTGCTGCTACTTCTGGAAGCGCTGTCTCCAGGTGCTGAGTTAACAGCTCGGATACCGAGATGCTGAGCTGGCAACTGCACGTCAGCATGAGGTGGAGATGACAGCAGGAATGAAGGGATAAGGTTATTTGGCAGGCATGAGGAGCGAGGGAAGCCAAAAGACAGAGACACGAGCCGAATGAGGTCAGAATCCGCGCTTTCTGACGTGCCCTTCACGGCAGATGCCGTCACGGACCAGAGAAGCCGTCAATTGGTACAATCACGGTCCGAGAGTTTGAGAGCTGGTATCTGATTGGACGAGATAGAGTATCAACATCCGACGTTGGAGTGACGTCAGGGTCTTACCCTCCTGCCAGCCGGAGGGGAAAAGGGCGTCCGACGATCGACGGAGCGCAGCGATCGATCTGCGCGACTGGAAAAGGTGATCGCTGCTGCTGACCCGCCACTACTGCGCGCACGCCGGGATGAAGATAGCGAGTTCGACGAGATGCTTGTAACGCGGATATTCTGCCGAGCGTCGGTGTAACGACCGCGCGGAGACGTGGATGGAGAAAGTGATGCTAGAGGATTGCGTGAGCGCACGTGGTGTGTGCGGATTTGGGAGGAGGATGCAGTGAATGTGGACACTCGAGCGGCGGCGAGTTGGCGCGCGACGGCCGAGGTGGACGATAGAGCCATAGGGGAGTGACGAAATGGAAGGTTGAAAATGGCTTCAAGCCATGTGTGTGCCGTTGTGCGCCGCGATCAGCGGGGGTGCTGCTCAGCAGGTTGAGAGTTGGGAAGGCATACGCGAAAGTGATGGCTCGTTACGGGATAAGAACGACATAGACTGTAATTTTGTGTAAGTGCGTCTCGCATATATTGTTCGTTCGGAAAGTTGAATGACGAAAAAATCGAAGTACATCGAACGGCAACAACTAGTCGCAGTGTAGTTACCTGTCGCTAATTTACCCGTCGCCACGAATTGTTGAAGATGAGGTCACAGAAAGGGAAATCACGGCTTTCCCAAAAACGATATCGAAACACGGATCCTGTCCCCTTGGCACGCATTTTCTCCGCGAGGTATTACGCAAGCCTCCTCGGAACGCAAGCGTGCTCGCTGCATGCCTGATTGCCTATCGCAGCGCCTTCCCTCATGTCGCCATCTCGCACGAGCCATGGCATCCTGCCATCGCCCGCCCATTCCACGGCCGTCGCCACTCACCTGTAGCTTGGCTGGACCTCTCTCTCGAGCTCTCCAACCGGCATTCACGAGCTGCTCCCTCCCGCTTCTCGCGCGGCCGTTTCGCGCATCTCCGTTACACGCTGCACTTTCGTCGCCTATAACTCGATCGCAAAGCGCTTTGTTGCGCTATTTCTCTGCGCAACGGTCGAGATCGATTAGCTCCGCGACATCTCATCACAGGCTCGCCGACCCTTGCAAACCTCCCAGGGGATTCGTCTCGGAACGAATAAGCTTGGATCGGATCCAGCTCGTACGCAAATCCGGATCACTCGCACCACGATCTGCTCCGTCGCTGCTTGCCTCAGCCACGGCTGGTTCAGAACATACAGCCTCAACTTTCGAGCCAAGTGGTTCGGAATCCGAGCCTGCTGTGTTGTTGTCCGAGCCTATCAACATGCCTTCGCCAGTGGAGGGTAGCACAGGAGGAGCTGCCACGAGTGGTGGATCCAGTGTGCCTGTAACGAGCGGGATTCCGAAGGGTGTGATTATACGCGATATACAGGAACTGCAGCGGAAGAAGCAGGCGATGAGAGCAGCAGGGCGCGATACAGTGCAGGTGAGCTTGAACTGAGTCGCAGTGCCGTATGCTGCGAGCTTGTCCGCGAAGGGTTCCTGATTATGCCGTCTTTTTTTTTCTTTCCTTTTTTCCATCATCTCGCCGACCGCTGCAAGGGAGCACGCTAGTGGTGATTTTCGAATGCAGCAGTTAATTCTCTGCTGTCAGCCTCGGGCATGCATTGCGTTGCACTCTCAGATTCCTCCTCTCGCTGCTCCCCTCCCCCCCCCCCTCCCCCCCTCTCTTCCCCCCCTTTTCCCCCTCATCCTCCCGTCCACGCATTAAGGTGATAGCGGATTTCGACCGCACGCTCACCAAGTTCACAGTGAACGGGAAGCCGGGCCAGAGTGAGTGCAGGGCTTGCCAGGGCATGTGGGTCTGGACAGGCTAGGATTGTGTGAAGTGAAGGGTTGGGTAAGGTGGGGATGTAAGGCAGAGAGGGGAGGCAGATACGGTGAGGCAGAGAGGGTGAGTGAGATACGGTGAGGCAGAGAGGGTGAGTGAAACTGAAATACTGGACACAAGGCTCCCCAACCACCTGCTGCGGTGCGCAACGGGGAAAGGGCGCACAGGGACACACCACGCCCCGCGCGACGAATGCATTAGATCAGAATTGCGGTCGACTCGGGCTTCGCCGCGCAGCGGAAGGCGACCGACACTGTACACCCGCGTGGAGGGACTGAAGGCCCACATAGCCATCCGCCACCGCGACTCTGGCGCGCTGTGGATCTGTGCCGTCTCTGTCACACACCCAAACTCCAGCCAAGACCCCACAGCGTCCCGCGGTGTGGGCTGGGCGGTACGGATAGCGGGCAGGGCAAAGGAGCTCAAGTGGCGCCACCGATGGGAGTGGGAGGGGTTCAAGGCCATGGCAGGCGATACTTATGGTTGCTGCTCCCCCCCTCCCCGGGGTGTTGGAGTTGCTGCGCCTCTCTGCGCACCTGGCAGCCAAGACCCTCCACCACGCGGAGCCCTCCTCGAGGGAATCAAGCAGCGAAGCTGCTCCACAGCTATCGCCAGCGCTGGTCATGCACACTGCAGCAGGCCCAGGCGAATGCGCTGATCGCCATGACCCACGCCACGCCGCCTTTGCGGCGCCACCGACTGCCGTGAACCCGTTCCCCCCCGAGCCCCTTGGGGAGCCCCTTGGCATCGGGGAGCCCCTGCACACCACACCACACCGTTGAGGGCGGGGCCCATGCGCTGTCGACTGGTGCAGTAGTCTGTGCTGCAAGCGCTTGTGGTCGCTGCACTTACCGTATCACATTGCCTATATCAATAAAGGACCATTCGAGAGGGTGAGGCAGAGAGGGTGAGGCAGAGAGGGTGAGGCAGAGAGGGTGAGGCAGAGAGGGTGAGGCAGAGAGGGTGAGGTAGAGAGGGTGAGGTAGAGAGGGTGAGGTAGAGAGGGTGAGGTAGAGAGGGTGAGGTAGAGAGGGTGAGGCAGAGGGGATAAGTCATGTATAGAGGAGGGGCCAACAGCAAGATGAGGTTGATGGAGGAGCAAGGCAGCAGCCATGTGCCACTGAATTCTCTCTACCTCATTACCCTCATTCTGGCTATCGCGCGCCCCTCTTTCAGAACTGAATCCCTCTCGCGTGCCACATCGTCTCCCCTTTCGCCCTCTCTCGCCCCCTCTCGCCCCTCAACCCTCTCCCCCCCCGCCCAGGCTGCCACATGCTGCTGAATCTGCGGCACCCCGAGTTGGAGGAGCGCGGCAGGCGGCTGACAGCCAAGTACCTGCCCATGGAGACGGACCCGCACTTGCCATACGAGGAGAAGTTCCGGTGCATGGTGGAGTGGTGCGTGCTGCTGCTGCCTGTAGGTGCATGGCATGGCATGGCGCAACTGACGCCTCTCTGTGTGTTGCATGTGTAGAGCCCTTTCCCCCTCCCCCAAGGTTGCCACAAGGCTGCCACATGGTGGCACGTGCTGCGTACTGGGCAGTGCATGGGTGACGTGGAATGGTGGTGCTGCTTAGTTCAATGGCCGCAATATGCTTCGTCCTCCCTGGGACCTCCCTCCTTTCGCAAGGCTGCCACATGATGCTGTACTGCGGCCGACCAGACTTAGAGGCGAGGGGCATGCAGGTAGCCGCCAAATACATGCCCGTGGAGACGGACCCCAGCCTGCCTTATGAGCCGAAGCTCCAGTGCATGGTGGCATGGTGGGTGCTGGTTGTGGGGTCATGGGATGGGAATATGCGGTAGTAGCAGAGGTGAGGGCTTGCGGCTAGCAGGCAGGTACGTGGCCATGGAGACGGACTCTTGCCTGCCTTATGAGACCAAGCTCCGGTGTATGGGGGCTTGGGGGGTGGGTGCCCGTGCGTGCATAGGGTAGGAGAATGGGGTGCAGTGAGGGGTATGTAGCTAGCAGTCACGCACCCACTTGCCCATGGAGACGGACCCTCTTCTGTCATGTGAGCAGAAGCTCCGGTGCATGGTGGCATGGTGGGTGGGTGCTGCTCGCAGGTGCATGGTATGGGAATATGCGATAGAGGCGAGAGGCATGCAGCTAAGTTCCTGTATATGGAGTCGGGCCCTCACCTGCCTTATGAGCACAATTTCAAATGCATGGAGGCATGGTGGCATGGTGGACGCTCGGGCGAGTCGAGTCATGGCTGAGTAGTGTGCTCGTGAGTGCATGGGAGGGCGGGGCAGGCAGAGGCAGCTGGCAGTGAAGCTCCTTTCTGTGGAGCCAGGCACAGGGCGGTATGGTGGTGAGAAGAAGTGGTTGACAAGGTAGTGAGTGGAGTGGTGGGGTAGACAGAAGGCGGGTCACCCGACCAGACTTGGCTTTGCTGGACGAGTGGTGTGTGCGTGGAAAGCGCGTGCGTTGGAGCACATGAGGGGTGGCATGGCATGGCAGATGTTGCCCAAGTCACAGCAAGACGCGTGGTGGACCCTTGTGATTGTGCTGTGTGTGTTCTACGGTAAGCTTACCAACGGTCTCCAATAACGGCCATTGTGCTGCTGCCTCTCACAGAAAAGCGGCTGTCAAGGCGTATCTGAGGTCCACAAAGGTCACCCATGCACTTGCTTAAGCGCACCTCACATATGCCTTGACAGCCGATTTCTTATGAGTGGAAGCAGCACAACGGCCGTTGTTGGAGAGCATTGGTCAGCTTGTCATAAAGCACACACAGCCGGTATGTTCATTGTTGTTACCACATTGTGACCGTGTACGCTAGCAGCACTGTGCACGCTAGCAGCACTGTGCACGCTAGCAGCACTGTGCACGCTAGCAGCACTGTGCACGCTAGCAGCACTGTGCACGCTCGTAGCACTGTGCACGCTCGTAGCACTGTGCACGCTAGCAGCACTGTGCACGCTAGCAGCACTGTGCACGCTAGCAGCACTGTGCACGCTAGCAGCACTGTGCACGCTAGCAGCACTGTGCACGCTAGCAGCACTGTGCACACTAGCAGCACTGTGCACGCTCGTAGCACTGTGCACGCTCGTAGCACTGTGCACGCTCGTAGCACTGTGCACGCTCGCAGCACTGCGCACGGGCATGTGGGCCGTTGCACATGAGCTGCCTGTGGAGAGTGGATTACCCCGCGGCCACCCTGCAACCAGCTTTGTACCACGTTGTCCTCACCTCAACCACATTGCACCGCCCTCACATGGCAGGTGGATGGCCGCACACGAGTTGCTGCTGGAGAGTGGAATCACCCGCGCTGACGTCACTCAGAGTGTGGCCGCTGCCAACACTGCCTTTCGCGACGGCTTCTGCGACATGCTTGCACTGCTGGAGGTGAGTGGCAGTGCTGGAGGTGAGTGGCAGTGCTGCAGGTGAGTGGCAGTGCTGCAGGTGAGTGGCAGTGCTGCAGGTGAGTGGCAGTGCTGCAGGTGAGTGGCAGTGCTGCAGGTGAGTGGCAGTGCTGCAGGTGAGTGGCAGTGCTGCAGGTGAGTGGCAGTGCTGCAGGTGAGTGGCAGTGCTGCAGGTGAGTGGCAGTGCTGCAGGTGAGTGGCAGTGCTGGAGGTGAGTGGCAGTGCTGCAGGTGAGTGGCAGTGCTGCAGGTGAGTGGCAGTGCTGCAGGTGAGTGGCAGTGCTGCAGGTGAGTGGCACTGCTGGAGGTGAGTGGCAGTGCTGCAGGTGAGTGGCAGTGCTGCAGGTGAGTGGCAGTGCTGGAGGTGAGTGGCAGTGCTGCAGGTGAGTGGCAGTGCTGCAGGTGAGTGGCAGTGCTGCAGGTGAGTGGCAGTGCTGCAGGTGAGTGGCAGTGCTGCAGGTGAGTGGCACTGCTGGAGGTGAGTGGCACTGCTGCAGGTGAGTGGCAGTGCTGCAGGTGAGTGGCAGTGCTGCAGGTGAGTGGCAGTGCTGCAGGTGAGTGGCAGTGCTGCAGGTGAGTGGCAATGCTGCAGGTGAGTGGCAGTGCTGCAGGTGAGTGGCAGTGCTGCAGGTGAGTGGCAGTGCTGCAGGTGAGTGGCAGTGCTGCAGGTGAGTGGCAGTGCTGCAGGTGAGTGGCAGTGCTGCAGGTGAGTGGCAGTGCTGCAGGTGAGTGGCAGTGCTGCAGGTGAGTGGCAGTGCTGCAGGTGAGTGGCAGTGCTGCAGGTGAGTGGCACTGCTGGAGGTGAGTGGCAGTGCTGCAGGTGAGTGGCAGTGCTGCAGGTGAGTGGCAGTGCTGCAGGTGAGTGGCAGTGCTGCAGGTGAGTGGCAGTGCTGCAGGTGAGTGGCAGTGCTGCAGGTGAGTGGCAGTGCTGCAGGTGAGTGGCAGTGCTGCAGGTGAGTGGCAGTGCTGCAGGTGAGTGGCACTGCTGGAGGTGAGTGGCACTGCTGCAGGTGAGTGGCAGTGCTGCAGGTGAGTGGCAGTGCTGCAGGTGAGTGGCAGTGCTGCAGGTGAGTGGCAGTGCTGCAGGTGAGTGGCAATGCTGCAGGTGAGTGGCAGTGCTGCAGGTGAGTGGCAGTGCTGCAGGTGAGTGGCAGTGCTGCAGGTGAGTGGCAGTGCTGCAGGTGAGTGGCAGTGCTGCAGGTGAGTGGCAGTGCTGCAGGTGAGTGGCAGTGCTGCAGGTGAGTGGCAGTGCTGCAGGTGAGTGGCAGTGCTGCAGGTGAGTGGCAGTGCTGCAGGTGAGTGGCACTGCTGGAGGTGAGTGGCAGTGCTGCAGGTGAGTGGCAGTGCTGCAGGTGAGTGGCAGTGCTGCAGGTGAGTGGCAGTGCTGCAGGTGAGTGGCAGTGCTGCAGGTGAGTGGCAGTGCTGCAGGTGAGTGGCAGTGCTGCAGGTGAGTGGCAGTGCTGCAGGTGAGTGGCAGTGCTGCAGGTGAGTGGCAGTGCTGCAGGTGAGTGGCACTGCTGGAGGTGAGTGGCAGTGCTGCAGGTGAGTGGCAGTGCTGCAGGTGAGTGGCAGTGCTGCAGGTGAGTGGCAGTGCTGCAGGTGAGTGGCAGTGCTGCAGGTGAGTGGCAGTGCTGCAGGTGAGTGGCAGTGCTGCAGGTGAGTGGCAGTGCTGCAGGTGAGTGGCAGTGCTGCAGGTGAGTGGCAGTGCTGCAGGTGAGTGGCAGTGCTGCAGGTGAGTGGCACTGCTGGAGGTGAGTGGCAGTGCTGCAGGTGAGTGGCAGTGCTGCAGGTGAGTGGCAGTGCTGCAGGTGAGTGGCAGTGCTGCAGGTGAGTGGCAGTGCTGCAGGTGAGTGGCAGTGCTGCAGGTGAGTGGCAGTGCTGCAGGTGAGTGGCAGTGCTGCAGGTGAGTGGCAGTGCTGCAGGTGAGTGGCAGTGCTGCAGGTGAGTGGCAGTGCTGCAGGTGAGTGGCACTGCTGGAGGTGAGTGGCAGTGCTGCAGGTGAGTGGCAGTGCTGCAGGTGAGTGGCAGTGCTGCAGGTGAGTGGCAGTGCTGCAGGTGAGTGGCAGGGCTGCAAGTGAGTGGCAGTGCTGCAGGTGAGTGGCAGTGCTGCAGGTGAGTGGCAGTGCTGCAGGTGAGTGGCAGTGCTGCAGGTGAGTGGCAGTGCTGCAGGTGAGTGGCAGTGCTGGAGGTGAGTGGGTGAGGTGGCCTTGCTGCAGGCATCGACTGGTTGGATGTCAACTCATTATTTCTCTGCTAATAGTGTCCGTTGAACCTCTCAACATCCATGATGGTTCCCCCCTGGATGTTCACCCCCCTCCCCCGGTGCGTGCGTGACCTGACCAGGCCCACGGCGTGCCGCTGCTCATCTTCTCTGCTGGCCTGGCTGACGTCATAGAGGAGGTGCGGTGCATGGCATGGCATGGCATGGCATGGCATGGCCAGGATGGTACGGCGTGGTGTGGCTTGGCATGCAAGGGAGGGCATGGAAGATGGGAGTAGGATGGCCTTGTAATGCAAAGCAGTCATGGCATGCGCGTTGACTATCCCAGTCCATCTATACCATGCATGGCTGGGCGAGGACACTCTGTGCATGCTGTGCGTGTGCAAGGATAGATGCACTCATCCGTTCATACTCTTCTTTGCAAGCACCTATTGAACCCTCCCTTTCACAACTCCCTTCATTTCACATAACACATGTCCCACTCACTTCCCCACTTTCACCATGCCATCTCATTTCCCCCTCTTACTCACTCACACCCACTCACATTCAACCACACCTGGACGCCCATGCGCAGCTGCTGCACCAGCAGCTTCCTCGCTCCTTCTCCAACGTGCGAGTCGTGTCCAACCGAATGCAGTTTGATGAATCTGGACGCCTTATCGCCTTCCCCGGTGAGTTCAGGCAAAGGTTCAACCGTCCCCAGATGCCTCCATTTGCAATGGTGCAGTGCAGTGCTTGACGGTGCATTAAGGTGCGGTGCGTGGCGGTGCGAGCCTGTGCTGTGCGGTGCTTGGCAGTGTGTTGAGGAGCATGGCGGTGCGTGATGGTGTGAGACGATGCGAGGCAGTTCGTGGCGTTGCAAGGCGGTGCATGGCGATGTGCAAGGTGTTGCATGTCGGTGCGCGTCGGAACGCCTCGCACCGCCACGCACCGCCACGCACCGCCTCGCATCGCCACACACCCCCTCGCACCGCCACACATCGCCTCGCACATCGTCTTGCACATCGCCACGCAGCGCAGCGCACGCACCGCCTCTCACCGCCACGCGGCGTGCTCTTGTTTACTTCGTGTTGTTGTGAGATTGCAGTTGGAATTGTGTTAACACGTCATTCCTTTATAAGCTCAACATGAGAGAGCACTTTTCAGAGCTGCCTGCTTGGTTCTTTCCTCTTTTTCTCCTCTCCCCCTGCTTCCTCTCACATCTGTTGATTTTATGCCTTGCCCTGCCTTGCCATGCCGTGCCTTGCCATGCATTCTCATGCCTTGCCATGCCGTGCCATGCACTGTGCAGGGCGCATCATCCATGTGTTAAACAAAAACGAGCATGCTTTGGAGCTAGCAGCCATGGAGGAGGCCACTGCACCTTCTGATTCCCACGCTCACGGCGATGGCAAGGGCACCACCACAGCTGCACACACAAACCCAGCGACCGCCATCGAGGTTTTGACAATGGCTCCGCAGTGTGCTGCTCGGGATGCTGGTGCCGACACTGCCACGCCGGTACAATCACAGCAGCAGAGGAGGTGGCAGAGGTGCGGAGCAGGATGAATGTGATTCTGCTGGGGGACCATCTGGGGGACCTGGGGATGTCGGAGGGCGTGAGTATCAGCAATCAGATCTCGGTGGGGTTCCTGAACCATGACGTGGAGAGGCAGTTGGACCTCTATAAGAGGTCGTTTGATATCGTGGTGCTGGATGATGGGCCCATGGACGTGGTCATAGCACAACTTAACGATGTTCTGTCAATTTAACTCTTGTTTTGTTCTGTGCAATCCTGTGCTGCTATCACATCCTGCTGTGTCTCTGGACGTGTGTGAAGCTTTGAACAGACAGCTTCAAAGAACACTTCAAATGAAATAAGAGCGTATTCCTATCCTCGTATCAAGAGAACCTCATATCAAGATTGTACTTTTTGCCTGGTAAAACTAGCGAGAGGTTTTGGGTTTAGGGGAATTTTCAGTGGGAGGTTGATATGAGGTTCTCTTGATACGAGGATAGGAATACGCTCTAATAATGAACCCCGTCCCATCTTGAAAGTGTTACGATATGGAATACGGTAGTTGAATAAACATTCCTGAGTAACAAATCCTTAACGCGAAGATGACTACAACGAGGACGAAAGATCAAGCGACGAGACGGTTATCGAGACAGTTACAAGCAGGAAGAATTTGAAGTGCAAAGCGCGGGAAAAGTTCAAACGGTTACCGAACCGCGTACGGTTGCGGAACCGCACGGTTGCAATCCTGCATCTAGATTAGCCCTAAGGGGAATGTACCCCCTCAGAGTACATGGCTAGCTAGGACCTTTCGTATTCCACTGTATTCCTATATAAACCCCTGTACCGCATTGTTATAGTCACTTCTGTCGAGATTCAAATCTCCTTCTACTGACAGAGTCCTTACCCGACATTACCTAGCAATCTTCCGCTGCTACACACCGTGCGATCAACATGAGACGATCCTATAAGACGGCTCAGATTGTATCATGGTATGAGAGCCACTCAGGATTCTTCGCACCACCACATTTGATTCAAATTCAAATTCAGCAATGCGCTACTGGAGCAACTCATCCAGTGGATTTCTACGCTGGAATTAGGAATTTAACAACTGAAGAATGTCAATTCTGAAACCGCCCAACAACCCGATCAACCAACCGCTCCAACCAAGGAACCGAGCCCAGCCACCTTTGATCTCGGGTCAAATTCCCCTGCTCCAACAGTTCCTCGTCCAAGTGACGAAGCCGTGCTCGCAGCTCAGAACAAGTTTCTGACTATCTCCAAGATTCGAACCAGCACCGTGTTTAGCGGGTGAAATTTCCACACCTGGAGTTTCGAGCTCGAGCTACTTCTACAAAACGCGCAAATCTTCTACTATTTTTACGTAAGCTACGCTGGCCCTTCCAGCGACACTGACGACGCAAAGGCTCAGTATTACAACGAGTCGCTCATGGCGTATAGCGTCCTACTTCGCAACATGGCGCCGACTGAACAACTCGGCATTCGACCATACAAGACTCACCAAGCTCCCGCCATGGCTGCCTGTAACTATCTCAACAAAACTTACCAGCCCAAGGACTCCGTGTCCTCCAGCCGCTTGCTCCAGCAACTCATGGAAGTCAAGATGGCACCTGGCGAGAAAGCAAACTCCTACATCAACCGTTGCCGAAGCGTCCGCGACCAACTTCTCAAGCTCGGAAACACAATTTCCGAGGATATGTTCGTCACCATCGTGCTTCGAGGGCTGGGACCACACTGGAATCCCTGCAAGGCGCTTCTTCGCCAATAAGGAATAATATCCGAAGCACAGCTCTGCGCTACTCTGCTGCACGAGCAACGTGACATGGACTTCAACCAAGAAAAGGGGGCGCGCCGTGAACAAATCGCCTTTTACTCTAATCGCGACCAACGGAGGAATCGCGACACACGGCCACGGCAATACTATTGCATGAACTGCAAAGCCTTCGGTCACTCCACCGAACGCTGTCGATCCGGACCACGACACGACTCCGCGCCGCGCAGCAACTCTGCCTACGGTCCTGACCATATGCGCCAGGCAAGCCGACCGTCTTCAGACCATCGGTCTGCCCCGCGCCAACCGCCACAATCCGACATTCAGCACGCACCGCAGATTAACAACGCAGTCCGTCATGTCATGGGCAACATGGCGATGCGCATTCCCCGTCGCACTCGCCGCACCAATCGGCGACATTTGCGATATGTCTCTCCTCCCCCGCCAGGAAACGAAGTCCAATTCAACGACTACAACAACCCCTTCACGCAAGATGGGGAATTCGTCTCCGACGAATACGAACAGGATTGGGATCTGCCGATACCCCTGCTGGAGTCGCTGCCGCATGACGAAGATTTTCTTAACTCGCCGTCCATCACCAGCTATTTCTACGGTCACCACATCGACACGCACCCCGTTGATAATTACCGTGCTGCTGGAGATCGGCGCATTCCGTTCCGGAACACACCAAACTTGGCCCTCTCGGCTCAACATCGCGCGAACTCCTACAATACATGGTACCTCGACAGCTGCTGCGGGCAGCACATGGTGGGCTCCGAGCGCTACATCTCCAACGCAAGCGCCAACCCCCAACCCACCGTCGTCACGGTGGCCAACAATCAGCAACTCCAAGCACGAGCATGCGGCATCGTCGTTCTAAAAGCACGCGACAGCGACATTCATATCACGCTCAACGACGTCCTCATCGTGCGTGGTCTTCAATATAATCTCCTCTCCTACGACCAACTCGTGCAGAGTGGAGTGCTCATGACGACTGACCTTGAGACACGCGACATCCTCATGCACTGGAAAGACTATAGCAACTTAGACAGCGAACCACGCTACATCGGCAGAGCCCATTCCGAAGATGGCGTTTACACCCTTGATTTCGACATCCCAGACTGCAGCGCTGACTCAGGGGACCTCATCGACTTGCAGCCCCAAGACATCATGTGGAAACGCAACCCCAAGCACCCAGACGGTCGCCCCTTGATCAAGCATCACGCTCACCCAAGGGAAATAGATATGCACGCACCTGGACCTGATGGTCTCTGCCGCAACTGCCGTACCCCAACTGCCTCCACAACAGACAGAACAGACAGACCTATGCCATCCACACGCCAAGCCAACCCACCCCCCAACAGAGGAAAAGCGCCAGCTGATGAAGGAGAATCTTCCGCTGCAGCAGCACGATGCCTCATAGCCGCAGCAATACAGACTGACACACCCTCAGAACAGATCCCTGAGGACGCTAGACCAGTCATTCAGCCTGCAGGCATGGACATTGTTGAGGAAGCAGAATGGCAGAATCCTCACCCATCTGGCATGCGCGATGGAGAACTCGCTGCAGCACTCACTATCTTCCAGCCGCGCAAGACTCGCACTGACCCCACAGTCCACGATCGCCTAGAGTTCCTCACGCGCTACACGGGACCCGGCGCATATGACGGTGAAAACAACCCTCTCCCACTGACCTAGGAGACCTACCATGTCCAACACCCCTGGTCCCATCGCAACATGACCACCGAGGAGTTTCAGCAACACGAAGAAGAAGAAAGGCGCCGCCGCGCAGACGAGGAGGCAAAGGCGGCAGCAGCTGGAAGATAGGGGAGCGGAACTGCAACAGCTGGAGGATTGGGGAGCGGAACTGCAACAGCTGGAGGCCGGGGAAGCGGAACCGGTGCAACTGGATGGGGGGACCCCACACCATCCACAATGGAGGAAGAAGAACCCATTGAAGAAGTCATCGCTCGTGCTGAACAAAATGCAGCAGCAGAAGCAAGGGGACCATATGGTTCACCACGTCCCCTTGGCATCCCCCCAGGCACCACACTGCAACCTGACTCCTGGGGATCTCTTACTGTTATGTTGTTCGCCTCCTCAGACTCCACAGACTCACGACCCCCCGCTGACCGCGATACCATACTGTCCTACCGCTCCTATCCCCGCAGCCCACTCCACACTGAAACCACGCCCATCGGCCCCTCAGACTCACCTGCTCCAAGCCCTCCAGCAACATTTGCCTTACCACCTCATCACATGCCATGACAAGACCTTCCCGAAGAAATAGCAGACACAGATGACGTAACCACACCCCTCGCCGCCATCACCACGGTCACCCGAACTCCCACCGCTAGTGAAATCATCCTTGCTCTCGGCCTCTCCATCTCTCCACAGCCCATCCCGGAGCCAATTGAACAGGACATAGCCACTCTCATTGCGTTTTACACACGCTCTCCCGCTCTGCGTGCTCAACCTGACCTCTGGCACAAGCGCCTCGGTCACCCCTCTCAGGAAGTCCTCAACAACTGCATTCAAGCACAAGTTTTTCTTCCTGGAACTCTCCTCCGCCCAGCCGGCACTCCAGTCCCAGTCAACACCACTCGCCGCCCTGACTACGACATCTGTCCTGAAGCTGCACTCACACATCAGCCCTTCAAACTCCTTGAACCAGGGACCAACCGCTACGAGAAACTTGAGAAGGTCTACAGCGATTTTCTTGTGCTCACTAAGACCGGCCTCAACGGCGAAAATACAATCTCACCTTCGTCGACCCTCACTCCCGCTTCGTCTGGGTCGCCAATGTCTCCCACAGGAGCAAAGCGTATGACATCTTCAAGGTTTGGCATGCCAATGCGGAGACTCAGTCTGGCTGCACCCTCAAAATCTGGCAGACTGACTGCGCAGCTGAGTTCAAGAGTGACAAGATGCAAAAGCTCATGGAGGACAAGGGTATCATTCACAAGCTATCCCTTCCTTACGCACATCCTCAGCAAGGCGTCGCGGAACGAACCAACCGCACACTCATGACCAAGGTTCGCGCCCTTCTACAGCAGAGGGACGTCGACGCGAAATACTGGCCCTACGCCATGCATCACGCTGTCCGTCTGCACAACCTGCTCAGCACCACTGCCAACACCGACAACCTCTCGCCTCACCTCAAGTTCACCGGAAAGCAAGGCGACATCTCTATGCTCCGCGTCTGGAGTTGCATGGTGCAGTATCGACCTGCAGCGGCGACCACGGGGAAGTTCGAACGTC